ACTTTTGGTTCTTGGACATTTTGGGCCTCGAAGCCAAAAATCCCTGGAGGATATCAAGTAGGGGGAAGGCCAGTTTGGTCTAATGCAGGGGTAGACAACCTTGGTTCTTTTATGACTCGTGGACTTCAACTCCCAGAATTCCTGAGCCAGCCATACTGGCTCAGGAATTCTGGGAGTTGAAGTCCACAAATCATAAAAGAGCCAAGGTTGCCTACCCCTGGTCTAGTGGTTAAAGTACCCAGTTAGAAACTGAGAGACTGTGACTTGTACTCCTGCCTTAGATATGTAAGCTGGTTGGGTGATTTTGGTCAATCACTCTCAATCCAACTTACCTCACAGGGTTGTTGTGGGGAAAATAGGAAGAGAAAGCAGTATTAGGTATGTTCACTGGCTTGAGTTATTTATAAAAATAATAAAGACAGGATAAAAAGGTATTTCAAAAAAGACTGCTGTAGCTCTTTTGTAAAGGGTAAGGCAGATTAACAGGCAGTTTAAAACATATCACTATTATTTAAGTGATTTAAGTTAGTAAGAATAAGAAAATTATGGAAAATGGCTAATCAAAGGAATTAGTGTTTTAAGGCTAAATGTCCTTTTTAGGAACTGTTTAGTCAAAAAGAACTAGAAAGTAACCAAGATTGGCATAACATATATGAGATTTATACAGGTTGTAGATTTGATGTGAATTGGGGCCCTCTTTTCAAATATTGATCTAATGTAGCGGTGGCACATTAATTAAAGCTTTCCAAAGCGGACTTCCCCAAGCCAAGCATTTTCAGATAGATGTGTGGACTTCAGCTTGCAGAATTCTTGGCAATGATCTACAGTTGGAAATTCTGGGAGCTGAAGTTCATACAGTTGGAAGGGCACCCAGGGTGAGGAAGAGTCATATCTTGACATGGAGACCAAACAGAAGCAACCTGTTATTCTTTTGAAACATGGAACAGCTTAGGTGATTCTTCTACTTGAAGGTGTAACAAATTATCAGAAGCATCTTCAATATGGATTTCACGGTTTGGTATAAAGCTACAATATTTTAACCTGCTTTATAAAAGAATGATTCTTCATTGAATCATATGGAACAACTGCTTTATTTCTGGATATAAGCAAAATAGCTCCAGTTTTGTTTTTCCTTTCTCCTTTGGCAGGAGCTAAATTGAAGGTTGGCAACATCATCTCTCTTTTGAGGAACTGAAGCCATCTGTTTCTCTGGCTGATCTTCTGCACCAATTCAATGCAGCATGTCTCTGACTTCTTGTAAACATCACCAGCAGGACAGCCCAGAATTGAATATTATTATGACAATCTACATTTATTCAAGTGGCAAAATTCCCATTGACGTGAATGCCTTTCTGGATCATGGTTTTAGCTTGTTTATGTTCTATCTGATGCCTTGACATTCTATTTTTAATAAACTCAGAACTGTTAAAAAGCAGTGATATAAAATGCAAAAGGGATACAGGCTTTTCATAGGGGAAATGGTGATGGGAGTCATTTGCATATAAGATCTTTCTTTCACTTTCTGGGATGCTGGGAAGTTGGTTCAAGGAAGATCTCAACTAAGAAAGGAAATAAGCTCTTAGAGATCTAGATTCAATTCCTAGATTCATGCACCCCACAGTTTATTTAAGCATTTAGGAGAAAAACCTCAATTGGCTAGGTTTACTTAATAGTCTATCAAGACTTCTTAATCTATGAATTGTTTGGCTGCCCTATCAGTCTCAGGTGATATGATCTATCAGATGTACATTGAATACCATCATGCTCCAACTCCTGAAAGAGACTGAAAAGATAGGGAATATTTCCTAAAGTGGGAGATAAATAAGTTGGGAATGTGGATTTTTAAAATAGCATATCTGTTATAAATCTCTCTCTCTCTTTTTTTATAAAGACCTATGAATGAATGATTTGGTCATAAGTAATGTTACATGATGCTGTCACAGCAAGTGTAGAACTACCATTTCTAATATTTCCACAGACAACTAAACACAGACTTCACAATGTTGCTTCATCCTTCTTCAAAGGCCTGTGGTGCTGCTGCACTTTGGATTGCAGAAGAGTAAAGTGAGAAGATGACTTCTGTTTTCTTTGACAACCTCTATTTGTCCACATAGCCAGACAGCTGGACTTCAAAGAGAAACTGCAGAGGGAAGAGTCAGCTCAGTTCAGGAATCGTAGAGGGAAAATGTGGGAGGACAGCAATGAGGACACATACAATTTCTTGCCAATGAAAGAACACCCCAAAGACCAGAAAGGAAACAGACTGTCCTGGGATACTGGACAGGGTTACAAATATATTTCTGTAACTCTGACTATTGAATTAAATAAGCGCTGATGATTATGCATAATGGCTTAAGATGGATGTACAAAATGAATTCTAATATCAATTTTTTTGAGGAAAAGCCCCCTTTCATATACAATACCTTCATACTTGTTTCTCAAGGAAAAGTGACATTGTTTCCTACACTGGGGCCATCCAGAAGTCTTAGAGGATAATTCCTGTTCAACATAAATGGAACACATGAGTTCATAGAAGATTGGCTCAAAGTATATAGCTCAAAATAAAATCAAAGTCACAACTTCAGAATTCAAACTGAAACAATACAGTCAAGTCTTCTTTTTGCCTATTGCTGCTATATGTAATGGACTGTGAGACTAACCTTGAGGAACATAAGGAAGAACTGCAAGGCAATGGGCAGATAAGTCCATCAGATCAAAGCAAGAATGGAATTTGAGAAAACATCTGACTAGACCAGTGGTGGCGAACCTATGGCACGCGTGCCAGAGGCGGCACTCGGAGCCCTCTCTATGGGCACACGCACCGTCACCCCAGCCCTGCCTCCTCCCATGGCCCCCTCCTCACCAGCAGCCCTCCGGAGGAGAGTTACCCCCGGGCACGGCCCACGCAATGCTGTGCAGCCAAGGACATGATAGCTGGGCAGCGAGGACAAGACTCCGCCCTTGCACCCCATTGCACGCAGATAATGCTGCAGGGCACGGGCGGAGGATGTGGCCACCATGGCACTACTGGGCTGCCTGGATGATCTGTGGCAGGCCGTGCAGGTGGTGGGTGGTCCAGTGGGCACAGTGGAGCGGGGACAGATGTGGGGGGATGGTTTTGGGGCACTCGGTCTCTAAAAGGTTCGCCATCACTGGACTAAACTGTTCCTAGTTCTCTTTAGTTAAAAATGTGGGGGGGTGGGGGAATGCTTTCAGAGTTGCAAAATTCTGTTACTTTAATAATAAAAATACATGTTGAAAATAGCTGACACCTCACTGCCGAAGCTGACCTTCACCACCTTCAATTAACCTACATGGACAAATCCTCCCCAATAGTAGGAGAATTCACCTTACAATGAAAAGGCTGATTTGAAAGGAAGCAGAAGAGATTGTACTGAAGCTCCTAATCCTAGGAAAGAGTATAGCAGAAACTGGCAGGTTCACTTAATTATAATAGTTTCTGATTGCATACAATGGAAATGGAAATTATAAAAGAAATGAACACACCTGCTCATGCTCATACATGAGTGGACGAGTATAGTTATGAAAAGCAAAGTAAGCAACTCCAAAAGTTTTTCCATTTTCCACTTGTTTGAAAATTGTGCAAACGATAGTATATATTTTCTACTGGGACTCTTAGTCTTCTATCAGCTAGTTATACTTGCATAATGTTAAATAAACATCATGTAAGCATGTGAAGAATTTGGGTGTAATTAATTGAAAAAAAAAACCCTCCTGTATGAGAGCTAACTCTTGTGAGGAAAAGCCAAAAAATATTACAAAAGAAGAACCATAGATTTAGGTTTGCAGTCACAGACGTCCTGGCTGTATGCCTTATTTTGTTGTGTCCCTCTTAATTATTTACCATCATAATACCTGTGATCTGAAAATTCAGTTCAAGGCCATTCTCCTCAACCGGAAACTTCAGTGGGTTCTGAAATCTGATTTGGTGATTAAAGATACCTATTCATTGTTTAAATAAAAAAGTAGCTCTTGTTTCCCAGGACGGTTTAATAGGGAGTATTGCAGAACTCAACCATAATCTGGGCTGAGATAAACACAGCTGTGGCCCACCTTATCTGTCTATGCCAGGTTTCCCATATCATGGCACTCTCTAGATCAGGGGTAGTCAACCTTGGCAACCTGAAGATATGTGGACTTCAACCCTGAGAAGACTGATGGCCATGGTGCCTTGGCATTTTAGAATTACATCCATGTATATGGATAATTCAAAATATATGAAAAAAAGCAGGTTGTTGAATCTGTACTATGAACAAATAAAGTAAAATAAAGTGTATGATTCACTGGAAAATTTTCCAGTGCAAGTATTCTCTTTCAAAACTCTGGGTCTGCATAAAAAGATTCTAGTGATTATGCCTATGATGAACATCAGAGCTGCTTTATACTGATCAGTACCAGGGCAATTTGATCTGACAAGCTTTGCGTATTGTGCAAATCCAATTCTTGGTGGTTTATAGTTCATTTGAGCCTACTCATGGGTTTGTGCACTAACTATGCCAACATACTTGAAGATCATTGGCATGGGACATAGGCTTTGTATTGTTTCTTCTACATTTGTGCATTCTATAAAGCAAATGTTCTTCACTTTGATTTCACCTTGTGGGAAGCAAATACATGTTCTGATTATTTTCTGTCACTTTGCTAAATTCTATATAAAAGATTGATAGCATTTTTCATTCCTTCCTCTGTCCTTTTGTTTTAATCAGCAAAATCCACTACAAAGAGACTGTGTGTTCTGTTTCTAGGTTTTGTTGGCACTGGCTGCATTCTTAGATAAGCCAATGGCTCCTCGGGAGCGTTCAGATTGCAAATACCGATCTGTAGCTAACTTTTGAAAATAAAAAGCAATTCTAGCTGCCTTTCTTAGTTTGGCCACCAGAGAGTGCATATTTCCGCACGAGTTGCAGCCACAAATGTTCCACCTTCCCAAAAACTTTTTAAAACTCCAAACAACTGGAACTTTTTGCAAAGCACAACAATATTTGAGCCTTTGGACCTGCATCTGATTCAGCAGTGCATATTTTTGCTCCGCTTCCCATTCCTGTTGCCTCTCCATGTGTGGTGAGTGTCCTAGTCACCAGCATTGCTGGAGATGCTGAGGGCTGGATTTTGAGAAAGCATCTGAAGTCCTTTGTCACAAAGGGTGGGGAGGTTTGCAGACAACTCAGCAGCACCTCCCCTTCACCTCCAGTTGACTATGGAAGGGGCTGTTATATATGCCTAGCCGGCTTTTCCCCTTTCTTCTGAGTTTGGAAGAACCTGACAAGAAGAAACACTTTGTTTTTCTTTCCTCTCCTTCACCATGTCATGTGGCAGGAACTAAGAGGAACTGAAGAGTCAAGTGCCTAAGCTGCCCAGCAATTCTCCTTCAGGTGAGTAGCATATCTTACATCTGGTTATTGAATGGACTGAAGAAGTAGTGAGATTGTGGTTTGGTTGGGGTGGCAGAAGAATGTTTTGTTGGCATCTTTCCCCTCTTGTGCATAATCATGCTACAAAGATGTTCTGGGCCTGGTAATATCATTTTTCTGTCTTGTCCTCATGAGTTGGACCTTGACCTTGCGTTCATTCCAATTACTGAATGAGATACGTTTAAGCCTTTTATCCCGAAGCCATCCCCCAAACACCCCAGAATTATATAAAATTTGCTAGGCTTTTTTCACCGTTACAAAATCAGGTGATTGAAAACAGAGACAGTGAAAGTACAATACAAGTAGGCGGTACAATAGCAAAAAATCATGCCAATGTACTTTTCTGTCAGTTGAAGAAGCAATATGAGCCTTTCAGATCAGCCGTGGAGAAAAACCCTTAGTCACTTATTTCCAGCATAGCTCTGGATTACCTTTTTCTCCCTTAGCTATACTTCCCTATTTGTGAATTGGGAATAATGGTGCCTAACTTCATATGTACAGGGCTGAAGTGGGAAGAAAGAGGGTACTTTACATTATTATAGTGTCTCCTCTACCAAGGTACACTGTCTAACCCTATTCTTAATTATGCCCAGCCCTACCAATCAATCTCTGCTCCGTTTTAATAATCTTCCAGTGGGACATATGAACAGAGCTTAACTTCATTCCTGGAGAATGGTGAATTAAAAAGAAGAAGAAAAAAACATTCTGCCTCTTGAAATGCAATGCAAAAAAACCCCAAAACATCTATGGAATTTAAATATAGCCCAATATAAATCAAGTAAACATCACTGCTTAGCTACAACATCATCAATCCATCTGTAGAAATCTCCAATGGGGCAGAAATAGGGCTGCAAGGAAGATGAAATGAAAGTGTCTGATTGTGATGGAGATGCTGAGAAGTGGAACTGGAGACCAGCGGAGAGGGAAAAGATGAGATATGAAAGGGACTGTAGGTCTAAGAACTTATTTGGAAGGACTATGTGTTTAAGTATTAGTATTACTTTCTTTTTTTAAAAAATAAACTCTATCAAGCAATTTGTTAGAGAATCTGGATTCCATGATGACAAGAGGCCCAGAAGGATATGACTATGTTCACAGCAATTCTGATATTTTACTTACAATGTGCAGTAAATATTAAATAATTAGACTTTCAATAATTTATGTTGGTTTTGAATTATTTCTGACATTCACCTGTGATATATGGTACCACATCTTCTGGTATGGACTAAAATGGAAAGACCTCATTCTGGATCAAATCAGCCAGAAGAGTCTTCACTTATGTTACGAAATGGTTTATTTTAATCGTAATTTGTTAAATACACCATAAGCCACCATAATGGCTTAGTATTATTTATTTGATTTGATTTATATAGCTGCCATCTCACTTAAGTGACTTTAGGCAGTTAACAGTACTGTACAATAAATAAAATAAATCCATTAAATACACAATAGAAAAATAGAAAATAAAAATAAAACACACAGCAGCTGGCCATATAGTAATCTAGCCTATCATCCACACAACCAGGAGATGGGCTTTAATCCACTTTCAGGGCCCAAGGTTTGGCAGTAATCCAAGTTTTCAAAACCTTATGAAAGCCAACAAGGACGGGGCCAATCTACTTCTCAGGGGATGATGTTTGCCATGCCAAAAAAGGTGGGACCTTCTGGGCTCACCAGCTGGCACTCCCTAGCCATTGCTACCCACAGCATACTCTTCATGCCAGATTGGGTTGGATGGATAGAAACGTTTATTTGTCTGTTTATTCAATTTATATCGCTGCCCATCTCACATTCCTGACTCTGGGTGGCTTACAATTAAAATATAAACAGTACCCCCCAAAAAATAAAAAAACCCCAGTCATACAAACAATACAAGCATTAAAAACAAACATTTGAAGGAATAAAATATAATCACTGGGAGAACATAGCCATTCAAGAGCAGCAGAGCCATTTTATGGGCTCTACATTACTCTCTGATCCCTAAACTAGATGGCAAAGCCAGGACTTCAGGATCTTCCAAAAGGCCATCAAGTGTTAGGCTGAGTGCCAATGTTAGGTGATGTTTGTATGTAACACTAGATCACACTATGTTTTACAAACTAAAACAATTGGCCTCATAAATATGTTAAACAAAAAATAACTGAGATTGGCTGACTATCCACATCATGTGTAATCATAGTGCAGTGTGTTTAGCTATGACTTAGTGTACGATGGTTACTCAGCTAACACTGAACTAAACCAAGGGTCTCAAAACTTAATAATTTTAAGACTTGTGGGCTTCAACTCTCAGAATCCCTCAGCCAGTCCTCAGTTGATGACTGCAGTTGGTCATCTAAGCGATGTAGCCATTAAGTGAGTCCTACCCAGTGGTGGGATTCAAATATGTGAACAATCAGTTCTCTGTGTGGATGCTGCTTCCGGAAGTCCATCCTGTGCCTGGGCAACAAAAAATTAGCTACCGATCCTGCCAAAGTGGTGCGAACTGGCTGAATCCCACCACTGGTCCTACCCGATTACACAAACTCTTTTGCTGTAGTTGTGAAGCAAATCACCATAAGTGAATACGGTTTCTCCCATTGACTTTGCTTTGTTAGACACCCTCTGGGAGAGATCACAAATGATGATCACATGACCTAGGGTGCTGCAATCGTTGTAAATACATGCCAGTTGCCAAGAGCCAGAATTTTGATCACGTGACCATAGAGACACTGGAACAGTCATAAGTGTGAGGACTGGTCGTAACTCACTTTTTTCAGTGCCATCATACATTTGAATGGTTGTTAAACCAATGGTCATAAGTCAAGGACTATCTGTATACTGTATTTAAATAAGCTTGATGTTCCTTTTACCATAGTGGCAAATTATATATGGAACTAACTTCTATGGAGACAAACCATTGGCCACCCAGGTTCAGGGCTATCTGCTAATAGAAGCTCCCCACTATCTGAGGCACAGCTGGTATTCTCACAGCTGGTATTCTCCTTGAATTTGGGAAGAGAGGGCCAGGTTAACAAGAAAAACATTATGCCTCCTAGATTTAAGCCACCTCATTGTATTGCAGATGAAAGAAATGGTGGCATATAAAGTCTTGACTGATGTTTAGAGTAAGTCATCAAATCCTCTTTCTAAAGGCAAATCTTTGCACTACATGTCTATGGAGATTCTCATTCAAGTCTCATTCAAGTCTCATTCAAGAAACAAAATGTCTTCAAGGAAAAACAAAGTCCAGTTGCCTTTTAAAAAAGCACCTTTGGGACTTTGCACTACATGCAATTTTAAGATTGTCGTAAAGCACATAATTGGCATGAGATGGCATTAAAGCACCTTCAACTTCTTCAGCGAAAGTGGCAGATCTTCCATTATCAGACAAGTGGCATGGACATATAGTCTGTGCTGCATAAAACTTCTGAAATAATCTGGATAAACACATTACACATCCATCAGGCAAAGCATGCATGCCAGTATGCATTGATAAAGCCCTTTAGAGAAGGCTGTTTGGGGTTGACTACATGAAGATTTCATTTGTGCTGTTTTGTTACCTGTGGCACATAGTGTGCTCTCCCAGTTTAGCAAAATATAACACAGTAACAATTTTGATCCAACTGTTTATAAACAAACTGCAAAGCAAGATTGCTTTTTTTGTTTTGGTAGTAAATTGAATTTGAGTTTGATCAGTAGAAGCCTTAGGAATTTCTCCAATCTTGTGCATTCTAGATATGTTAGAATTCAAGTTCCATGGTTCTCAGCCAGAATGCTAGTAATGGGGAATAATGGAACTTCTGATAGAGATGAAGTCAGGAAGGTTTATGTGAGATTTTGAAAAATGAGCAGAGTTAAATGTTGATTTGAACAGACTATCAATTTGGTGGTCTTGCAGCAATGCCTCCTATAATAGGATGATGGGAGCAATCTGATAACTGAGATTATATTATAACTAACTTAAAAAATGAAAGACCATTAATCAAACAAAGAGATGGAGGAAGGGGGGATGATAAGGATGAAGGTATTAATTACATTTTTTTTCCTCTGGTCAAGCGCATGGGAGAAAGGAAATTCTGCTTATTTAATAGAGTTATGCAGGAATTTGATCAGGAAAGAAGACACAGTGGTCTTTTATTCTGCAGGAAATCTTACAGGGTTGTGGGAACTGGTGGAAACAGGAGGCTGACTATCAATGCTGCAAACTTTCATCTTATACTGAGCTTTTATACATGTATAAATAAAAAATCATTGAAAAACTCATCCTGAGTTACTTCTTGAGAGAACTGGACTGTAGGAGATGACCAGGCTGATCCCGAGGGAGGGGTCAAATGCGTCATCGTTCTCGAGTCTTTTATGCCCACAAGACATCTAAGTCCAGCCCGCCTTGAATTCCATTGACTCTTATCTACCGCCTGGATTTCCTGATTTCCTTGGTGCTTAACATGAACTCTGAGAAGCACCAGAACCCTTAAAAAGTTTACTGTTAAAAATAAGGTGTATGTCAGGTCCCCAAAGAAATGTATCACTATTCTATCTAACCTATACATGCTTCTATAACCATTTTGGGGAGCCTGCCATTCTGTTAGGAGGGGGGATTCCATTATGGGGATATACAATATGCTTTGCTTTGCCCATGCCACACTGCCCTTCCCCCAGGGGAAGGAATGCAGCCGAATACCATCACCCTTATCTGGAAGATGGTTTGCGCTTGGAGCCAGAAGGAAATGAAACCGAGAGAGACCTTGAAGAGCTCACCATAGGAGCCAGTTACCAAAACAATATACCACCTGTGGATTGGTTGAGATTCAAACGGACAGTGGGACCCTGGCGGGAGGAGTAACAAATACTGCTTTTGATATACTGCTTATCCGGGCTATTTCCTCAGACCTCGCTTTGCTTCTTTGCTATCACCTAATAAAAGTTCCTTTTGAGACAATGCCTGTTTCAAGAATTCTGCTTTCTTGGGAGACCTAGTTGAGGCAGGTCCTTACAGTGCACTTGTATCACATACTGTTTTTTTGCATGCATAGATAAAGCATTAGCAGAATAGGACAGACTGGGAAAGCACAGATAAACTGAAGCTATAGGATATGTTGTGTGTAAAGGGGCCCAGAGTTTTCCTAATCTATCAGTTTTGTTTTGGAAACAAGGCTGGGTGTTTCCAACCTGGAAATCCAGCAAGCATTTTAGATGAACACCAGAGGCCTTCCTATTCAGCTGCTGATGCTCCTACTCTTGTCCATTCCTTCATACATTGGCCTTTATCCTTTTCTCTTTTCATAGATTTTCACTCTGTATAAACTGTAGAATACAGAGACCGTGTCTATTTTGTCATGTACAGATAGTCCTCAACTTATGACCACAATTGAGCCCAAAAATTCTGTTGCTAAGCAAGACAGTTGTTAAGTGAATTTTGCTCCATTTAATGACCTTTTTTGCCACAGTCGTTAAGTGAACCACTGCTGTTATTAAGTTGGTAACATGATTGTTAAGTGAATCTGGCTTCCCCATTGACTTTGCTTGTCAGAAGGTCACAAAAGGTGATCACATGACTCCGGGGCACTGCAACCGTCATAAATATAAGTCAGTTTCCAAGCATCTTAATTCTGATCATGTGACCATGGAGATGCTGCAATGGTAGTAAGTGTGAAAAATGGTCATAAGTCACTTTTTCCAGTGCCTTGTAACTTTGAATGGTCACTAAATGAACTGTTGTAAGTCGAGGACTACCTGTACTTCTGTACGGTTTGATAATAGTTATACGTCAGTCAGTCAGTCATGCAGTAGTATACTATCTGTGCCAAATGTCCATCATCACTGATTATGGATCTTCTTTGGGATTCTAAAACTTTTTTATGCTCCAGAGCAGCTGCAAATATTCCTTGATCTTCTGATCCCAAGTGGGGGATCCAGATGAAATCCAACAGCCTCCACAGAAGTAAACGTCATTAAATTGAAAGCTATAAGACATACAAGCACTGGAATAGTCCAGCTGCATCGCATGAAAACTCATCTTACTCCAACATGTTGATTCTCATTGTGGCCAGATATTTCTGAGGTACTTTCTAGCAGCACATGGATACATATAGCAAGTGATATTTGGAAGAATGCTACCCCATTCTGCCTAAGGATTACACAGACACTTTTAAACAGTCCTTCTCCAAGGAATTTATACAATCCCCTTTTAAGTCACCCATGTTTGTGACCATCATATCTTATCCCATCGTATCTTTTGACAGTGAATCCCTTGAGTTAATTACTTGCTATATCTGTTCTAAATCTCTTTTCAGTTACCTTCACTTCATGCCAATTAATCCTAAAGTTTTGAGAGGAGAAATAATTCTTCCTGTCTACTTTATCATGCCTTGTATAACTTTATACATCTCAACCATATCCTGTACTCCCCTTGTTAGATTTTTTCCTAAATAAAAGTCCTAATGTTCTAGTCTGTTCTTGTATAAAAAGTATTAGAATACTTTCAGATTGGATTTTGGTTGCTTTCTTCATGCTTCTTTATGTGTATTACTTCCTGCCATTCCCCCCCAACATTTGGCAAGTAAGCTGGAGTTAATGTTGAAGTCTGAATTGACAAATCTTTGATATTCTTCAGTAACATCTCAGAATGTTCAGTGCATGCATGCAAAATATATAATCTAAACATCAATCAATCTTCACCAGTTTTTCAATGAATTCTGCTATGTGCTTTACACAGGATGGAGAATAAAGCCATGTATCTGCACACTTTGGGTGAAAGAGAGAATGGATCCATCCTGGAAGAGCCGTTTGATGGAAAGAACCTTTCAAAGCTGAATCTCTGTGATGACGGTAAGTCCCAGGGAGCAGCTCTGAGATTCAAATAGCATTACACCAAGATTCAACGGAGCATGATGATGTGTAGCCCAGGAGTGCTAATTTATGCAAATTCTCATATCAACATTCTTGAATTGCGCCCCTTGAATCAATTCCCGATTAAAGATTAAGAATCCACACTTTGTCAAATTTCCAGCACTGTTCTCAGCTCAGAAAAATATTGTTCAACATGCAATGTGTATTTGGGGAGATAAATCACATTTTAAAATGGATTTGGGGACAGATTGGAAACATAGGACAGAAGAGTGGCTTCATAAACTGAACATACCAAGTGTAACTTGGTAGAGGACTATTTTGGAGTAGCAGTGAAAGTGGCAGATGAATGTACATCTGAGCACTAAATCGAGCACCAGTCTTCCCACATAACTGCTGAGGCAGATGGCATGTAGTCCAGTATAAGTGGAGGATGCTGGGTCACTGAGTCAGACAAAAATTCAATATTTTCTTCTTCCGTACCAAGTCTGAATTTTGATTCCCTAAAATTAATTATTTTGGCACTGAGTTGAGGTATTTTTATTCAGCCAAGCATTTTTATAATTATATTGTTTCGGTTAGTTTGCAGTTTTCATTGCTTGCAGCCTCTTGTTTCTATATTTGTTTCTGGTTTTATAGTACGGTATATATGAATTTTGATACCGGGATATACTATTTCTAAATGTCAGTAAATAAACATTAAGAAATGCCAGGAACTGAACATAAGCATTTAGCATGCAAATTTAATACTGGAGTACAACCCTTCCTTATACCACAGGTATACATACTCGCCCATGTACAATGAGGTTTAAATGGCCATTGTATGAATCTGCCTTTGACACAGCAAGCCGCCATGTAATGAGCCCTTTTAAAAAAAACCAAACTTATTGTTAAGCAGCATGGATTTACATCCTTATAGCAATCACTGGGACTGATTTTTTCATGAGCACATTTGAGGTTTAGATCTATCACTGGAAGCTTTCAAGAAGAGACTGGACAGCCATTTGTCTGAAATGGTATAAGGTCTCTTGTTTGAGTTGGGAGTTGGACTAGATGACCTCGTTCCTTCCAATTCTGTTATTCTATGTTTTTTTCTATGTTGTCATAGATAATACCTTATTCAGGACAACAAAAATTCTAAAAGAATTTCACTGAGTTTATAAATGGGAAATGAAAGGAAAACATTAAGTGATGCACAATGGAACAACAAGAACACATTGCCAAGATAGTAATACATTTCTAAAACAGTGGTGAAAAATATATCTGGGGTGGTACGACATTTGTGTCACAAAAACGTTGTCAATAAAAGGTAGAGAAAATGAGTAAAAATACTTGTTAGAAGTATTCTAGAAGATGTCTAGAATGACTACAGAAGCAGAATCCTGGAAGTTTTAATTCCAGTGAATTACAAGGGTGCGCAATCTAAACTGGTCATTAAGTGATAAGAAATTTTCAAAAATTTCCAACTTTGTACGGATTTAAGCAGTGCTTTAAAAAAAAAAAAAAAAAAAAAAAAGGTGCCAGAACTCACACACGTCATACAATCCGCCTTGCCTACCCTACAAGGTTCCATCCAAAAAAGGTGCTGGAAATACGTTCTGGGCGTTCTATGAGAAAAAAAGCCCTGGATTTAAGCCATGTTTACCTGTTTGTTGCCTTGGTAGTGGATCTTCCGTCTCTCTCTGTGTGAAGGTTATTCTTTCTACTCTGTACAACTCTCTACAACTTTTTTAGACCTTTGAAAAGAAGCTAAATCTATTATGAAATCATTTTAGTGCTAGTGGCAAATTGGGAATATGCATTGAGTTTTGACCATTTTAATTGTTTCTAAGCCATCTCTTTTTCAAGAAACTGGGAACAAACTGAAGTCAAGCAAGGTGCAGCCAAATTTTCAGTCATTGAGCTTTCATCCACCCCAATAATCAACTTTCATATATTCAGTTCACTTACTGGGTTTCCTTGGCATCCTTAGCCATAATGGATTTAGATAAATCACAATTTAGCCCTATGTGTGAATCTGGTTACTAGAATAGGTCTCTCAAAGATCACGGGCCACTTCCTAAAATAAGTGAAACTAATTTTCAAGTGCAGGGAATTTTGAGTTTCACGATTCTTCAGGAATTTGAGCAAGTAAATGAAGTAGGGAACAATTGGGACATGCTTTTAACCTTCAAAGGATGTCACTTCTTAGCAACAAAGTGTGCTGAAAATTATGTGGAGTGTCCAGAACTGCAGGTCTTGCATTTGGTAGCTCTGACCTAAACCATCTGGACTTCTTTAGCTTAAGACTAAGACAATTAAGCTACTTTTATGACTACAAGAGTGATGTACTGTCTGTTGGCACATTCTAGTGTCGACTCTGGAAAGGACCACTTCGACACAAGCAATTTACCACAGCCGAAATTTGCCACACATGTTAAGGTTTCTCTCGCTAATAACAATGTACTTGTTAAAAACAATTTTTGTAATTGTGGTCTTTCTGAAAAATAAAAACCAGAAACTTGACATACTTTTTGCATCTTGATTAGAGCTGTTCCATCTTTCAACTGAGGACATTTTGAGATAGAGAAGTGACTTAACTTTTTTTATCATGCGATAACTCTGAAATTTACATGATTCATTTTTTTCCCTACTCTTTCCAATGTGCAATTTTCTTCGCTGCTGTTTAAATCCTTCCTTTTTAATGAGGACTTTTGCTATGGTCCTAGCTAATTAGGGTTCCTGCAGTCTACACAGCGCATCCCCATCCATGTGGTCTACCAGATTTGGCTGTGTGGTAACTTTAATTATAAGGAAAGCCATGGCTTTGGCAGTGTAAATTAGGGGCGAGGAGAAAATATACTGCTGTAAGAGCAAATAGCCTGCTTCAGTAATATATATGTTTTCCTTATTGTGCTTTTATTGCAACACATTAAGTAATTAAAAATGATGGTTATCAGGGTGAAGTTCAAAGTCCTACATGAGTTGGTAGCTGTTCCCAGAATCTGGAATTCCTTGTCTAATATGCTGATCTGATGATTTTTCAGCAAGAAGCAAAGACATAAACCACATTGACTGATGTGCATTTGGTTTTCCTGATTGTTTTAAATTGAACTTCATAGCTTTCATTTTATGTGTTCGATTATGTCGGTATCACTGTTGCTATCTAAGTACAATTTGGTGAAACAACATGATGTACATTAAAAAAAAAACAATCCAGAAAATTTATCTGACTTTTTGTATTATTTCTTTCCATTATAGTCTATGTTCTGTTATGTCCATAAACCAGACCTTATCATCTCCCTAGATAAGAAAAAAATCCAAAGAGGTTGCCATGTTGCTTCTGATCCTGTATCACGCAACGCAATAGCTATGAAGGGTTTTGCCATATGCTTTGATGGTTTGTTGGATTTACCTAACAAAAAAATAGAAAGTCCAATTCCTCTTTACTTTCCACTGGAAAATTGAACTGAGGTTAGGTGGGCTGCAATGGTTCTCTTGATCCTCATTTCCCCACTGGGCCTCTGTGGGAAGGAGAGAAAAGGATAAGTTTTTTTTTTAAAGAAGTCATATGTGCCATTAAATTGGTGATGGTGGTGGTAGGTTGAATGGCACCACTATACCAAAATCTGGTTAAACATCCAGATCTGGATTTGAAAGGATACTGGGCAAATCAGAGATTTCTTCCTCACAGAAGTCATATATCCCTGTTGAAATTAGTCAGAGACCACCTAAGGTCTGCTTCTGTTCCAGAATGGGAACAATAGGTTCCAATTTCCATCATGCTCCCTAAGGGCCTGGTATAAGTATTAATATCACAAAAACAGACTGTAATTTTCCTCATTATGAAACCTTAGATCCATCTGTTTGGCCAGTGAAAAGAAGACGGCCACAAGTTGACAATAAAACTATGCCAGTAATTAAAGACATATTGAATCAGAGAGGAGGGAGGCAAGGAAGTTATATCATAGCTTAATCAGTCCTTAAGAAATCCCTTGGTTTTTTTTCTTCAGAGACACAATTTAGATATTAAAAAGAATTATCTTAGTGATTTATTATAGTATTTCAGAATAAACTATGAGTAACATGTTTTTAATTTACTGGGATATGCAAGTTAAGTATGTGAAAACATAGCTTGGTTCAGGGTAGTAGGTCAGTTTGAAGCTGTCATTTACCATTAGTTTATGAGCTGTAATTATAGCTTAGCATGAAGTAAGGGGCAACTTGGGTTCATTAAAAAAGTCAGGATAATGACTGAAACTGCACAGTTGAAGCACTTTGCCGTTTTTTACATGTGTACCATTCAAAAAGGGATAGAGCTTTGATGATGATGATGATGATAACGATGATGATGATGATGATGATGATAACAATAACAATAACAATAACAATAATTGGGAGGGACCTTGGAGGTCTTCTAGTCCAGTCCCCTGCTCAGGCAGGAAACCCTATACCATTTCAGTTCTGCAACAATGCAACGCTTTGTTGTTGTTTTTTAAAAAACACCACAATAATGATTCTACAACAGACAACCTAGTATATTAAAATTCTTTAACAAATAAAACCCTTCTGACCTGGCACTGAAAAAGGAGATTGAATGGAGCCGGCCATACTGCCTTCAGGCGGGTGGGGTGGGTGGGTGTAGGTGGGGTGGGTGTGTGGATTTCAACACTGGGATATAAAAATACCCCTCCCCACCAAAGTATCTCCCCCCTTTTTGCAAATATGTCCTTCTCCAAATAATGGAATTCAGAAAGAGGTTAATCTGTATTGCTTTGAAAAATAGATTTTCTGCAACAGTGAACTTGTTCAGTCTGTGTTTTCACTTTGATACAAAAATAAAACCGCTGTCATCTTTTGACTTAAAATTGTATGGGTTGTGTACAGAGATGTCATTCTACTAGATCAGAGAACTGGAAAGTATAGAACCTAACATCCTTTTCTATGGGGCAGGGAAGGTTCAGGAAATAGCAGGAACTTAGCTTAACATCTATTCCTGCTTT